GGTGAAGTTTCTTCTCCCAAAACAAACCTGCCAGAACCTCCACCCCCTAGTGTATTTCTTTCTGGTGAAAATTCTACACGAGAAAATAACCAGGGCGTTTATACCCTATAGTCTTATTGAGTTGTGTTTAATTTTGACAATTAATGCATTAAAAAAAATTTTATTCAGAACGAGCTGACCTTCATGTATAATAAAGATCAGGAGGTAGAATCCATTTCACATTTTGCCGGGATTGATCCTGATGTGAGTTTCATTTCTATGGAATGTTTTGAGGATGCCGAAAGAATTCCTGAACGAGATATGGAGGAAGAGTGGTGTATTTCTTTCCCCCTAGTGTATTTCTTTCTGGTGAAAATTCTACACGAGAAAATCACCAGGGCGTTTATAAGCAGCTTATAAACGCAAAAGAAAATCAAATGCAACTTCAAGTGATGATTTTCTTGATGAAGCGGTTAAAGCATTAAAAAAAATTCCTCCTAAGCAGGAGGATTCCATGGAGGACGCTTGCGGGAAGTACATTGCCCAAAGTCAATACCTAATTTGGAAAAGCGCCAGAAAGAGCAAAAAAAACTCATGAAAACCGCATTAAAATTTTTATTGTAAATTTTAAGATTCTATTAAAAGGTTTTAATCTACTTAATTTGCTTGTATTTTTTTTATTCATTTTATAAAGATATCGTGAATTGATTCAAATTAATTTCATTTTTTGTTTATCTTTCATGCCTAAAATCTACTTGTGTATAATACATACAATTTATTAAAATAATGTTTTCTCTACTTTTGAAAATTAAACTATTATTGTAAAATCTTTGAACAATCGCTTGAAATATACAGTTGATGCCTGTTTCATTGTTTTCTAACAATGTATAATTAGTTTATCTTCTGAATTAAAAGTGACGTTACTGATTCAGAATCTTAAAAAATAAATAAATCCTTAAATAAACTATATATCAAGTACATACCAAATAAACAATATTTGTAAAATTGTTATTAGAAGAAATCCTTATTTAAAATTCAAATTAGCTTATACAATAGCAGTTCTGTAGTTTCTCCTAAAAGGAAAAATGTTAAAATGCGTTGTATTTAAATTGTTCAAGCCAATACAATATACTTCAAGAATGTATTAAAAGAGGTTAAAAAATTATTTATTTGATCACAAAAAATATAAGTACAATCATTATAGAATATATAAAAATTTATTTACAAGTAGATATGTACAATTGATTGGAAATAAGTATATACAGCCAAACTTTCATAGAAACAAAAAATTTTGTAATATTATAAATATCCAGGATAAAAAATTTAACATTTTTAAAAATTTGGACATATTGACGATATTGATAGTTTTATGCTTTCATTTAAAAAATAGGAAATCGATGAAAAATATTTTTGGTACGAAAAGTGATACAATTGCATGTAAAATAGATTTAGTGCAAATCGCACATGTCCTCCTGCCAAGGAACAGCACCAGACCCATTAAAAAATTGAGAAAATTTGTCCTGATTGCCTTGGCAACAAAGGACCTCTTTCTCCCATCCTTAGCCAGAGAAATTAAAGGTTTTGTATCATTTCTCCAGCTGCCTTGGAGAATTTTCTTTTGGGCTAGGTCTTCTCGATCTAAGCTGGGTATCGGAGTATACAGCTCAAAGCATCTTGACCTCAAGAAATTGTGCAGTGAGCATGCAGCCAAAACAATTTGTTTTGCCTTAGCAGGACCTGACAAAATCGGAGTTTGAAAAATGCGAAATCGAGAAGCCAAAATGCCAAACGCATTCTCCGATACCCTTCGAGCTCTAGACAGCCTATACTTCAATATCCTGCACGTTAAATCCAGGAATTTCCCCGGATACGGCTTTAGAAGATACTCCTCCAAGGGAAAGGCGTCGTCTGCCACAATCACAAAAGGAGCAGGTTCCTCTGTGTCTGGGAGAAACTGCCACCCTGGAATGTTTAGGTTTTTTTGCTCAATATTATTTTTCAGAGTACTTTTGTGGAAAACTCCACCGTCACTAACTCTTCCATTGGTACCAATGTCCACGTAAAAAAATTTCAAATTGGCATCTACTAAGGCTAGAAGTACGATACTATTAAAATGTTTGTAGTTATAATAAAGTGATCCAGAATTGGGCGGAGGAACAACGCTGATGTGTTTCCCATCAAGCGCTCCAATGCAGTTGGGAGAATTCCACAATCTATAAAACTCGTCAGAAATTTTTAGCCACTCTTCCGAGTTATCTGGAGCCTTAATTTCCTCTTTTAACACAGAGAAAATAGCCGTGCAAACAGCTGGAATTGTTCAAGATATGGTGTTTTGTGCCACCCTAAACTGGAAAGCTAGAGAACTTTGAGTCTCCCCTAAGAAAAAAAAATTGGAATTACAATTAAACAATATCAATATATTTATATAGCACACAAATATTTTGCTGTACGAAAGCAAAGGGTTGTGAAGTGTTTAACAAAATTATAATTGATAGCAAATCTTTAATAAATAAAAATATTTTTTTTCAGTCAAATACACCAGTACTTTATATTGATTATATAAGCTGGTGGCTCAATTTTTAAAAAAAATTCATAACCAAATTAATAAACTCAAATAAGTCATATCTTGAACATTTTAAGATGAATCCCATCAATGTTGATTAAATAAATGTTTTCGGTTACAATTCACTTGCTCATACAAATGATTTAAAATAGATTAATAATTGGCATTGAATATATTTACTTTCTCATTGGATTCAAATCATAAAACCCCTGATTGTGTAACCGCTACAAGATACCAGAAACACATAAAAAATATTAAACAATTTCAATTTTCGAACCATTCTTTTATAAACATGAAAGAAAAGAAAAAAGTCAACCATAGGATTAATAATGGTACTATGAGCCCAATCATTGTTATTGATTTCCAATTAAAACTAAATCTTACAAATTGGTCATATTTACCTGTTGCTAGGTATCTCAGGGTAATTGCTAACTGTAAGAAACCGAAGGAGAAATTCCAGATCGTTCATGGGCTGCATCTGCCAGATGCTGGGTGCATTGGAAATAAAAGTGACACATAGGCCTTCTAAATACAAAACGAACATTTATTCAACAAAACAAACAACTCCTTGGTCAGAGCTGCTTCTCCGACGTAATCATAACATTGAATGACGAAATCTGACGCCAAGCACAGAGGCGCACATCGCCAACACTCTCCTCACTGCACTTCATTTCACAACACTAACCTTTCCCCAGCTGGTATAGCTTCACGCATGCATGTATTTGTTTTACTTATCATTGGTTAGACTTTCTTCAGCAAATACTGAAAGCTATCGGTATCCATTCGTAAATACCTCCTGTAGCTTTCCTGATCCTAAAATAAAAGTAAAATAATTTATAATAAAAACCAATCAGCAAAAGCAATCAGCATCTTCTAAATTAAATTTTTCCTACCACAATCTAGCAGGTACCAAAAAAAAAGTTTAATACAAATAATATTTTGCTGAAAACATTTGGTAAAGATAAACATTTATAAATTTAAACTATTAATTTCACAAATATATGAATAAAAAAATTGGACAAGAAATTAAAGTAATTCCCGAAACCACTTTGTTTTGTCGGAAAATCAACAGTTAATAATTTTCTTATTATGATTTAAAAACGAAGACAACATTACAATACTTAAAAATTTTTATCGCGAAATTTGTTTACTGTAATAAAATATATAAGCAAAATACATATAAAAAATCATTATTTATTTGGAATAGTACATAGTTATTATTGATCGTTCAATATTCAGAATGGTACAAATAAAATTCATGAATAATTATAACTAAATGCAAACGATAGCTCATTAAAATTATTTTCAATTCAAGTATAGAAGAGGTTTAATTCAGATTCCAAAATGAACATTTTGTATTCCGTTTACTACACAACACTTAACTAAGTGAATTTCCTAATCAATAACACGTAGTTATTATAAAATTGAGAAACAGAAAGATTTTTAATAATTTAAAAAAAGAAAGTGCTATAATTTAAATAAAAAACATTCTTACTTCAAGAGCCAGTTCTCTCAGCAGATTTTCATAACAACCCAGCCCTTTTCTTCTTAGAAGCCATTTTCTTGCCCAACATTTCTTTCTCTTCTCTTTAATTATCGATCCATAAATTGCTAAGGCTGGAATTGATAAATATGCGAGATCCATTGTAAAATAATACACAGACAATAATCGCCAGGTTAAGAATACTGATTTTCACCTATGAAGAATCATAGATCGACTGTATGGGCGCTAAATTGCCGGGATAGAAGGAAGGTATCGGCGCGTTTAAGATAAACATTTTCATGAACTTTGGCAACCCTAGAACAACTTTTTGCGACTGAATGTTGGATGCAAAGTTTATCTTGCTGTTGCGTTGTGTTGGGTGAATTTCTGCACATGTGATATGGCTTTAAAGGAAGAAGAGCCCAACCTAAGACTCATACAGATGCAGCCAGCAGATTTTTGCTCCTCTTCAAAGAAATGAAGGAACTCTTACAGAACGAAGAGCTAGTCAAGCTGCTTCGCTCCCTCCTACCAGAGTCGCAAAACTAATTGAGTTTTGCATCCACACAGGACTTTCATGACTTCACAGTTTTTATTCTGTGAAATTTTGGACTCAACCTAATACTTCTAGTAACTTATGACCTACTAGCTTATGTCAAATCAGATTCGACGAATCGGTAAGAAGCGCTTAACGCCGAGATCTCACCTATACATAACATAACATAACAGAAAGAACTGTCAAGGTCAATAGAAGAAAAGAAATTCTATTAATAAAATCGTCTGGAGTCCATATGGACCCCCACGCATCCTGCCGGGGTAATGGCTGTCTATGGAATATCGTACCCAAAAATACTGATACACTTTATTGTATCACGTTAATAGGAATTACGTTACTTTTAGTTAAAATTAGAAAACTCATATTTAGAGTTAAATTTTAATTATAGAAATATTCTTGGTTACATAATTACAATTGATTAAGTAATACAAAGGGGAAGAGAATCTAGGAATCACTCACCAGAGTGCGTCATCACAAAACAGGTCACGTCTCCTCAGCTATGCAAACCTTCTACTGATTCCTAAATGGGTGCAACCCCTACAGCAAGAGGGAACTTCGCCAAACTCACCCTTTGGCTCACTTTATCGATGTTTTTGGCGCACTAACTATTTTGAGACTCCTTGCTCTGCATCAATACTTTTGTGGAATTAGAAACTTTCATGTTAGGTGCCTATATTGCTGTTATAAATTTCAATAAAGGATTTCGACGTCTTTTGCAAATTTTACTGTCACTGAATATTGAAACAAGTAAATATACTGTAGAAATGTATGAGAAATTTGATCTCGAACGAATCAATGATTTCAAAAGACACTCATTACCTGTTGCAAAGATAGCCCGGAAAAAAAATAGGGCATTGAAGAAGAGAAAATATACTAAGACTGAGAAATTAGAAGGGGTAACATATAAACCTGGGGTTTTTTAACGTCAAACAAAATAAACATGTATTCAGTAAAATTTATCGTATCATCTAAAATATATAATTCTCACTTTCGAGTTCTATTTCTTAACATTTTATTTAGAAACATTTATCAGACTGTTTGTCCATGCTTTCTAGTAATTGAGGCAAAAAATATTTGAATTATTTAAAAATAGTTTTGTGTGTATATTTATGTGTACCAGTGATAAAAATAGGTGTTGTATTTCAAAAAATTTCATAATTATTTCATCTAAAATTTTAATTTTTTCTATAAAAAAAATTAAGTGTTGAAAAACTTTAGGTAGTTATGCATTATAAAATGAGCATTAATTAATTTAAAAGCATTAATTATTATGAAAGTTATAGAAAATAAATTTCTGTTACTTTTTTTGTATATTTGAAATCTAAAATTAGACTTGTTGCAACACTTGATAAAAAAAAAGTTTCATCATCAAGGTTAAAATTATACAAAAACTTAATAGTTAGGAAGTGTCTCTAATAAAATTGACAAATTTTATTGGAGTTTTAAACATTTTTCTGTCTGTAGTATGAAAACGTTTCTTTTAAATGCGTTTTTTTCACTGCTGCATTTATTAATAAATATTGTTACGACAAACATATTTCAAAATGTATTGTTTATTTTCTCATAAAACTTTATATTATTGTTTTTGATATTGTATTCTAGTGATTGAACTAAAATAATCTAGGTTTGTTGATTAGAAATGAAACAATGGGGTTTTTTGTGTGTAAACACATTAAAAATATGGTTAAAATTCGCTCCACTTTATTTAAAAGACTGTAATTTATAAAAAAAATTAATTTTTTAAGAAACTTTTAGTTCATTCACTAGATAATTGTACCGGAAGTGGATTAAAAGTCATAAAATTATTTTATTTTAATTAGATTTTTCAAAATAAAGTTTGTCAATAACGTAAAATTTGCTAAAAAAATTTCAAGTTTTCTTTTAAAATTTACTGAAAAAAATTTTTTTTAAACTTTTTTATGATTAATTAGTTGATTAATAACAGAAATGCATCCAAAGAAGTAAAACTTTCACAAAATTTTATTATATTTCAAAAATTGGTTGTCGAACGTAGTCGGATACCTTAAACGAGAAATAGAAGAAGCAGATTTTGTAGCTTTAATGTTAGATGAAGCGTCGGATATTAGAAGAAGGTCACAGCTCTCTACAGTTTTGAGATATGTTGTGAAGGAAGACAGCAGTGCTACAGAGAGGTTTGTTGGATTTATCGACGTAAGTGCAGACCGCATATCTAATGTAAAGAGACCACACGTCCCGATTTTGGCGGGACTGTCCCGCGTCCCGCCGATTTTTAAAAAAGTCCCGCTTTTTAGAAAATATCTGCATTTCTAATTTTAAATGTACTGTAAAAATATATTACCTATTATTTATTAAATATTATGGTGAATATAAAGAAATAAAAAATACATTAAAAAAAGCACGTAAAATGCATGCAGAGTAATTCGGCTTAATTCAGATAAGTGCAGACAGTGCAGTTTGTTGTCTTCAATTTGACGTTCGGTTTGACTCATTATTTGATTGACGAAGATAGTGGTAGAGCAATAGTCGCCACAACATAACGGTCAATAAGGCAAAATTTAATACTCTTTTTTAGCCTTTGTAGTAAATTTTTTATTCACTTCTAGTATTTACCCACAGAATAAAAGATGAGTAAAAAAAAGAGAATGCAAATTTAATGAAGAGCTAAGCAGAGAATTTCAATTTATTAAAAAAACCAATATAGACTATATGGTACGGTATGAAAAATGCAATGCTGAATTTTTGGTCTCACATGGTGGAAAACACGATATTGCTAAACATCTAGCGACAAAGAGGCACAAAAGATTTTTGAATAATGCCACTTCCTCGTCTAAAATGGAACAGTTTTTTCGCACTGCTAACTTTGGCAACACGGAAAAACAGCTAGCATTAGCGTAAGGGCTATTTGCTTTCCACACCATAAACCTTGATCTCGAAATCAAAGTTTCAGATCAATGAATTTTACGTCGCAAATGATCAAAACATTATACGACAAAAAATATGCATGAGCAAGGACAAAAACCGAAGCAATTATTTGTAATATCTTTTCACCATATTCGTTTTCACAATTGCAGAAAGAATTTTAAAAAAATGCGCACTTACATCTATGAATTTATTAGATTTTGTTTCATTGCCGAGTGAAACTTCACAAATAATTTTTGATTCAGTAAGTACTATTTTAAAAAAGAATAATTTGAACATATGAAATGTTACAGATGAAAAAATTAAATGTTGGTTATCTGCAAATGTGGAAACAGACAAAAAATGGACCGAGTTATTCCTTCATTTCAAACAGAATGATATTTCTTATCAAAATATTTTGAAAATTGTAGAATTCGCGCTCTCCCTTCCAGGAACAAATGTAGCAACAGAACGTGTTTTTTCTAGTATCAATAAAATATGGACAACTGAAAAAACGCAGTTGAACATTTAAACTTTAAAAATCTATTTTAAGTGTAAAATTTAATTTGACCAATTCATGTGAAATATTTCACGATATTTTAATAAATGATCCGAATCTATTGCTAAGTATTCACTCAGATCAAAAATATGACCGTGAAAGAAAATCATGATTTTTTTTTAAATAAAAAATTTAATTTGATTAAAAATCATGATGTTCAAATTATTATTTTTTACAAATATTNTCATCAAAATCGGTCGAGCCGTTTAAGAGGAGTTTAACCACTAAAACTGTGACAAGAGATTTTTATATATATAGATTGTAATTCTCTTTTCATCCCATTTGTCCCGCTTTGTCTCAATGAAAATGTGGTCACTGTAATCTAATGGTTTACACGAGCACGTACATAAAACCGTAAGTGAATTTGAAGAAGTTCGAGACTGTATTTTTATTACACCTGTTTTCACTTTCGTTTTCCCGAACAGATTTATTATTTCAAATGTTGCAGGCAGACAGTATCGATATATTGTCTTGCTTAAATGTTATCAGAGACTTTCAAGAAGTCTTGGAGAATGCAAGGAAATGCGATGAAAGTGACATTATTGGATTTCCCGTAATTTGGGAAAAAACTGTTTCAGTGGCAGGATTACCGAAAAATTCAAGAAAAAGAAAAGTTCATGCTAACAACGAAAGTTCACTGACTTTAGAACAACGATATAGAAAGCTATTTTATGAAGTAACAGATAATTTACTTAGCCATTTAAGGAGCCGGTTTTCTTCTCTAAAAAAACTGGCATTCTTTGATTTACTAAATCCTAAACAGTTCAAGAATTTTTCAGAAAAAAATGGCTTCCCTGAACAATTTTTTACTAATCTAGGAGAATTATATCCACAAACCTTTGATATGACAGAGTTGAAAAATGAACTGATTGTATTTCATCGGACTTCTACATTTAACGACAAATGCCCAGAAAAACTAATACAATTTCTGAAAGAAGAAAATTTACACTGTTCTTTCAAGGAAATTCTTAAACTCTCTAAATTTCTGCAACAATAGCACCAGTAGAAAGGAGTTTTTCCGCCCTTAAAAGGATTCATAGGTACAAGAAGTCCACACAAACAGAAGACAGGCTCAGTAATTTGGCTTTGTTGTCCATTGAAAAGGAACTGTTGATGTCTTAAAGGAAAAGGAAGACTTCTACATTAAAATCACTAACAAATTCGCTTCAAAAACAAGAAGGCTGGAGTTCATGCATAATTGAAGATAAGATTTTAAGTTTCTTTTTTGAACATTCAACCATTGCATTTTAGAGTTAATAATTTTTCACCACAAGCTTAATTAATTGCGATGACCACCGAAAATTTTCACGCCACGCCACTGAAGTGTACATATATTTGTATATGTGTACACTTACTGTATTTGGATATAGTCATGATAAAAATAGTTAGTTAGTTAGTTAGTTAGTTTTTAGTTATTGGCGCAAGAGCCAGTTGTGGCTATATCGCACCTACAACTTGGTTTTTATTAAATATCTATATTGATGTATCAAAACCAATGGCTTTGATACATCACGATGAGAAGAAGACTAAAAAATGCATTTTTCTTTTTTATTTTTGCAGATTCTTAAAATACAGTTCTTTCTTTAAAAAATGGCGTTTAAATTTTTATTCTATCCAAATTGGAAGTATTTTTAAAAATGGTAAACAAGCTTTCAAACCGAAACTGCCACGCCCACCCAAACCGAAACTAAACCTTGGATTCTTCTTATTTCCTTGAAAATAAGTTTAGGCCAGCTTTAAACTCAAATACAATTAATTTTATTTTGTTTGGCAACAATAATTATGAAAAGAATTTAGGTGAAATGAGTTTATTGATCGATTGATTGCTTCTTTTCACGAGGTTCAAAATTTNAACGCAATTCAAATTAATGAGAGACACATTTTTAGGTACTGTTATATGTCTCCATAAAGCAAATATAACACCAGCTTTAAACTCAAATACAATTAATTTTATTATTTTATTTTGTTTGGCAACAACAATTATGAAAATAATTGAGGTGAAATGAGTTTATTGATCGATTGATTGCTTCTTTTCACGAGGTTCAAAATTTTGTTGTTTTCTGAAATTTGCTCCTTCTAACTGCAATTTTTTCTGATTATTTTCGTATCAGTTTGAACTTTTTGCATTCATATTTATATTATTTATTAACTATTTAGTTATAAACATGCCGCGAAGCGGTCAACGAGTGTTTAAAAAAAGGAAAGCGTTTGGTATTCATTGCAAAACATCGTGTTCATCTACAAGCATTGAGTTGAATGAATCGGCGTCAAAAATCAAACTGGATAAACATGTAAATGATTATGAATCATTTCTGAATAATAATAATGCAAATGAAATAATTAATTTAAATTTATTATCCAATTGTTTGAATGATTCTGTGTTATGCTCAGCTTGCAAAAACAAAAGCATAAAACTAAAGTTTTCCAGGCAAGTTCAAGGACTTGCATCTGAACTTTCTATATACTGTGAGCAGTGTGATTTTAAAACGTCTTTATTAAGTACTGAAGTTTCATCTAAAGTGTGCAACAATAGTGACACAAAAATTTATGAAGTTAATACTAGATTAACGTATGCCATGAGAAGCATCGGGAAAGGGAAGGCAGCTGCTCAAATGTTTTATGGGATAATGAACTTACCTGCTCCACCACACAGATTTTGATGAAGTCACAAGTGAATTAGGCTCGGCAATAAAAAGTGTCGCTATGAAGAGCATGAGTGATGCGGCTGGTGAAGCCGAAGCAGCTAGCAATTTCAAAGACATTCCCGTTGCAATAGATGGCACATGGCAAAGACGTGGGCATGTCTCAATGAATGGTTCTGTTATTGCAACTAGTGTTGACGTAGGCAAAGTACTGGACATTGAAGTGTTGTCCAGATTTTGCAAATGCAAGAACAAACAAAAGCATGATTTTCTTTGTCGTGCTAACTTTTACGGGAATAGTGGGGCTATGGAAACGCATGGTGCAGTATCAATATTAGAAAGATCCGAATCCTTACATAACCTTCGATACGTAAAATTTCTTGGTGATGGGGATTCAAGGGCATATAAAGCTGTGTGCGAAGCAAAACCGTATGGAGATGATGTTAGTGTTGAAAAACTAGAGTGCATTGGGCATGTGGAGAAAAGGATGTGCACAAGATTGCGTGCACTAAAACAAAATCTTAAGGGTCAGAAGTTGGGCGATGACAAATCTATAGGAGGACGTGGACGGTTGACTGAGAAAGAAATCGACAAGCTTCTATTGTATTATGGTCTAGCGATTCGAAACAATACAGGCAATTTGCTAGCAATGAAGCAAGCTGTGTGGGCCACGTTTTTCCACAAGTNGGACGTGGACGGTTGACTGAGAAAGAAATCGACAAACTTCTATTGTATTATGGTCTAGCGATTCGAAACAATACAGGCAATTTGCTAGCAATGAAGCAAGCTGTGTGGGCCACGTTTTTCCACAAGTCTTCGACTGACAAAAATCCGCAGCATGGCCTATGTCCTCAAGATAAGAACACGTGGCGCACAAAGCAAAACTATCTGGTGGCATCTACAGTCACAAAAGTAGTCTACCTGCTGATGTTTTATTGAAAATAAAGCAAGTGTACAAAGACTTAGCAAAACCAGAGTTGCTCGCCAAGTGTCTTCATGGAAAGACGCAGAACTCGAATGAAAGTTTTAACAAGATATTATGGTCTCGTATTCCAAAAAGTACCTCTGTTCAACTAGATACTTTAAAAATAGGAGCTTAGGAAGCAGTTGGCTGTTACAACGAGGGGAATATTGTGAAGTGCAAAGTTTTGTCAGAGTTAGCAATAACGCCAGGATTATACACAATCCGAGCTATGATGATGGCCGATAAAGCACGTGTACGTAAAGCGGAATATGATGTGAAACAAAAGACTATAGAGGCCAGGAAAAGGAGAAGATTAGATAAATGTGTACTGGAGGATAAATTGTCAGATAATCCCGACAATCCAAGCTATGCTAAAGACATGTATTAAAAAATTGCAAGTCTTTTTTTTTTTTTTAATAGTCAAATTTTAGTTTTCCTTTAAAAAAGTATATTTTCTTATTCAAAGTACAAAATTTTACATAATTTAGAACTGTAATATGATTTTATTCATAAAAATGTAGTATTATTGTTTTGATGACAATAGGTGATGATGTTTGTGTTTATTATTGTATGTCTTTGAATTTTTTAAAATTCTAATAAAAACTTCAAATTGAAAAGTATCTGGTTAAAATGTTAGAAATATTGCATGAAATAATTATAAAAAAATATAAAAAGTAAATAGGTTTTTGTAAAGATGTATCAAAGTGAAGTTATATCTTACTTCATTTGAACCGTAACGACTGCCTGTAATGTGTTCATTTAAGACCAGATAATTGAATTTTTTAAAAAAACTAGAAAAGATAGAGTTTTCAAATACCAGATATATATTATTCAAAACACATTCTTGTTGATTATTTTTAAAATCTAATATAAATTGATGTCAGGAGTTAAATATTAATACTTTTTTTACTAAATGTTGTTTTTCTCAAAACCATGATTTTTAGCATAAAATGTACCTTTTCTCAAAAACTACTCATCCTAATGTGATTAAATTTTACACACTGTTTCTCCATGTTTATATAAACATTTTAACCAAGGGAATTTTGATTATATACATTAACTTATATTTTGTGGTTGCATGTGTAGTAAAAATTTCAAACTTTTTATGAAAATCCTGTATGAATGGGGATTTTATTTTTTTTAAAAATAATGAAAACTCCAAATTACAAAGGCTCTGGTTAAGGTGTGTAGAAGAATGCATATAATGAATAAAAAAAATATTTAAAAATGTTCAATAGTTTTTTAAAAAAGGTATATCAAAATTGGGTAATTTTAACATTATCGAGATAGGATTTCTTCTACGTGCACCTACCCCCTTAAATGATTGAAGTCATGATAAACAAGTTAAGGCCGAAATAGCTAAAGAATTCTTGTTTGAAATTGGAAAAGCCAATTAAATAACAGTACTTGACCTTACAAAAGGTTATTGGCAGATCCCGATGAGAAATAAAGATAAGACTTTCACCGGTTTTGTCACCCATTCTGGGCATTACCAATGGAAAGTAATGCCTTTTGGTTTAAAAAATGCTGAAAGCACGTTCCAGAAGTCAATTGACAGAGTATTGGCACGGCATAAAAATTACTGTCGCTCGTACATCGACGATGTAGCCATATTTTCGGAATCCTGAACTGATCATATCTTTCATATCAGTCAAGTTTTGCTCACATTAAGAGGAGCTGGCCTAACGATAAACCTGGAGAAATGTGAATTTGGCAGACGTCACGTTAAGTTTCTAGGACACATTGTAGGTTCCGGAAAACATACCTGAGAAAGTGGAAGTGATCATAGTATAGCGAGACCATCTACCAAAAATGAGGACCGAAGTCTGTTAGGACTGGCATCGTATTATAGAGTTTATATACCCAATTTCTCCGAAAAAGTGTTGCCTTTAACAAAGAAAAGTATTCCCACGAATATTCCATGGTATGATAAATCAGAGCAATCCTTCCAACAACTCAAGCGTGAACTGGTAAAAATGCCCTTTTTACATACACCTAATTTTGATAAACCATTCCAGTTATATACTGACGCCTTAGCGACAGCTATAGGAGCTTGCTTAGCTCAGAAGGCTTAGGTAAAATTATGCATTAAATTGTCACTTTACATTAAGTGTAAATGTGACATTAATGAATGGAAGAAAAGCTGAACTTAAGTATCTAAGAGTGTTGGGAAGTGAAGCCCATGTTTTAATACCGAAATCACAAAGAAAAAAATGGATTACCGTTCAAATAAGATGGTCTTTATAGGGTATTCGACCATGGTTTATCGAGTATTAGATCGACAAACAAACCGCATAACCATCAGTCGAGATGTCCTATTCAACGAACACCGGAAAGAAAAAGAAATTCCTATCGCAAAAATCGAATTTCTTGAGTTAGAAACTGCCATTGAGCAAGAAAGTGAATACTAGATACCCCCCCTACTAGATACCCCAATGCGGAAGTTTACGCAGCAATGACTTCAGCGGAAGAAACTCTCACTTTCGGTGACCTGTGCTCTCTCCCCGTTTCGGAACAAACCCTCTGGCGCAAAGCGATGGAAAGTGAAATCGCTTCAATGAAAGAAAGTGATGTGTGGAATCTCCAATCCCCGCCGAAAAAAGAGAAGCCTAGTTCGTGCCGTGGAATTCTCAGAAGGAAAAGGAATGGAACGGCGAAAGCTCGACTCGTGGCAAGAGGATTTGAATGCCACGATTACAAATCAACCTATGCACCAGTCATCAGCTATCCTGCATTACGAGTGATACTGATCCAGATTTTGATACGATCGCTCTACGCACGTTTTCGAGATGTGAAAACCGCGTTTCTCAACTGTCATCTGGAAGAGACGATTTTCATGCAACAACCCGAAGGCTTCGAAGGCGGAACAGACAAACTGTGTCTTCTCAAGAAGAGCATTTATGACCTGAAGCAGGCTCCTGCGAACTGGTTTTTCAAATTTAAAAAGCTCATGGACAAACTGAATTTCAACAATATAGAAAACGAGCCCTGCATCTTCATCAGGTCTGTAAAATATACATAGCTCTTTATGTTGATGACGTCTTGTCCAGTGGAGATAACACCTGAGGACCGTTTAACCACAGATCAGGAGTCATACATCATTAAGTTGATAGAAAAGTACAATATCACTGGTTCAAAACTAAAACGACACTTCTGCAACGTATTATGTTTGCAGAAGTGTCGCTTTAATTTTGAACCAGCTATATGATTGATTCTAAACCCCTTGAAATACCGATGCAACCTAAAGCCACTGCGGCAGATTTTCTAGACGGAAAACAAGCAATTACAGGGAATTAATAGGCTCGTTGTTTTACTTGGCATACGTGGCCAAACCCGATATATTATATGCTGTAAACTGCCCTAGTCAATTACAGGAAAAATCAACGTAATCAGCTTATTTAGCTTTGAAGGGTATTCTCAGATACCTTAAGAAAACCTCCCATTACAAACTGACTTACATGAAGAATAACACCTCGTATAATGATCTATCGTTGTATGTAGACGCAGACTGGGGTTCAAATCATAAAGAAAGAAAATCAATACAGGTTACGTAATAAAATTTTGCAACTTCTCGATCATGTGGAACTGCACAAAACAAAAGGTGATCGAACTGTCCTCAACGGAGGCAGAAATAATCGCTCTAAGTAAGAGCTTACGGGATTTTACTTGGTTAGATAAAGTGATTAAAGTAACGATCCGAAATTAACGATTTTCGAAGTCAGCATGTCTTGCATAAAATTCATATCGAATGAAAATGCCTAAGGAAGAATAAAACATCTAGATATAAAAACGAAATTCGTTAGAGAAGAAATAGTTAATAAGAATATTGAATTGAAATATATATCTTCCGAATATCAAATGTAATATTTATCTTGTCATGTGTAATATTTATCTTGTAACTTTCAAATACTACTTCTTTTTTCTTTACAAGAAGTATGAAACTCTTATTTTATGTATGTGTAATTAATGTTTAATTCTGAAAAATTGTATTTTATTGTAATTTCTAACCCTTATGTGATTAAGGGTGGGTGCTGAAATCCCGGATCTGAAACTAATACATCCTGCTGTAATCACATAAGATGCAAAAGATCACGAGAACAACGTTTCTTTGACTTTAAAACTTTCCTCTCACCTTTCTTGTTCACCCCTCTAAACTTTCTTGTTTAAGATCCTGTTCCCACACCATTATGTAATGTTAAATCTCAGTATACAAGCCCTGTATATTTTCACCTAACTTCACTTCTAGCTTCAATAAACTAGTTGTCACCCATCACCTCGATCTATGGCTCTTATTTAAAAGTCAACAGTTACAAGGCAATTTGAGAAAATAAAGTCTGTTGTTTATCGTGAAGTTTGCAAAGAAAATGTTACTAGTTACGTTCAGAGAAAACTATATAGCGATCTGTTGTTGGTGAACAGGTGAATTCATTAAACTGTGCTCTTTTAATATCGGCTGAAAATTGTAATTCAGAGGACGTTAAAAAACTTTTCAAGGCACAGATTTACCCTAAAAAAGATAAAATAGGAATTCGGCAAGTTAAAAAGTGTTTCTGAAGGTCAGATTTTAGTTAATTGTGCTTCTGAAGGTGACAGCACATTTGTTTATTATCATTTTGGAGTTCCTTTCTAATAAGTATTTTGTAAGACCCTTATGTTTACCAATCATTGATGAAGCATTATCGCAGGAAAAGGAGGCACAGTTACTCCAAGGAATCGATCTTTTTGACAGTTCTTCATGA